ATGTATACTCCTGTAGGGGATGAGTATCTGTTGCAAACCATCTATACTTATCGCTTGTATTCTTAACTGTCAATTGTTTTTATTGATGTGCAATTATTTTTGATAAAATTTTCTTCTAAATCATTTAAGTACAATGTATTCATTATCGGTAACAAAATCTACGTTCGTTTTTGAAAAAAAAATGTATTAAGCCACCATAGTTTACACAACATTTAACATCATCATACAGCGATCTAAAACCCCATTCATACGACACGATTTGCATACCTCAGTATATTTTACACATATGTTAATTTACTTACATGTGCAATTTTTGTCGTGTGAACTGATTTGCTCATATGCAAATTCTGCACAGTTGAGTAAATTTGCACCTGGTCAGGACTAGGTGCAAATTAACTTTTACATTAATGTTGTCGCAAATTAATTGCTCCCGTGTGTAAGTTTTGTCGTATGAACACGCAGCAAATTTACTTATGTAAGTATTTTGTCATGTGTATTGCATCAGTCTCTATTTTAAGCGTTCTTATGGTTGTGTGTGCTTCGGCGGGAAAAATATAAGTCTGTAAACATGACGCCTTTCAAACTACCAAACGAATTTTCAATGGTCATTCGTGCTCTACTTAAATGATAGTTGAAAGTAGACTGAGTTTCTGTAAGGGTAGATCTGTTGGTGTATGGCTTCAAAAGCCAAGTCTTCAAAGGATAAGCTGGGTCGCCAAGAACTATTGGCATAGTACTTTCCCAAATGGCTTTCGCCACTCTGGAAACAAGGAGCCATTATCTCCTTTGAGATAAATTTCCGAATTTGAATCTGAACAGAGATTAACGTCAACATTTATCTAACATAACAGATAAAGCTGAACTGAGGTAAACGTCAACATTTTTCTAACATAACAGATAAAGCTGAACTGTAGTAAATGTCAACATTTTTCTAACATAACAGTTAAAGCTGAAGTGAGGTAAACGTCAACATTTATCTAACATAACAGATAAAGCTGAACTGAGATAAACGTCATTTATCTAACATAACACATAAAGCTGAACTGAGGTAAACGTCAACATTTTTCTAACATAACAGATAAAGCTGAACTGTAGTAAATGTCAACATTTTTCTAACATAACAGTTAAAGCTGAAGTGAGGTAAACGTCAACATTTATCTAACATAACAGATAAAGCTGAACTGAGGTAAACGTCAATATTTTTCTAACATAACAGATAAAGCTGAACTGTAGTAAATGTCAACATTTTTCTAACATAACAGATAAAGCTGAACTGAGGTAAACGTCAACATTTTTCTAACATAACAGATAAAGCTGAACTGAGATAAACGTCAACATTTATCTAACATAACAGATAAAGCTGAACTGAGGTAAACGTCAATATTTTTCTAACATAACAGATAAAGCTGAACTGTAGTAAATGTCAACATTTTTCTAACATAACAGATAAAGCTGAACTGAAACTGGTCGTTTATTTTGGGGAACTTAATCTAGAAGCGATATGAGAAAGTCCAGGAATTATGGTAGGTACACCTTCTTAATTATAACGACATTCTTTTAAAAACTTGATTAATCAAATAAATATTGTAATTAGTTTTCGAATACCACCGGGAAAAATAATACAATCGTGTATAATGAACGCTTTGAATTAAGAAGATTCTCATATCATGAATGGATTTTGTTGTCGGTTACTCAGTTTGCGTCGGACCTTGGAGAAGCAATGGAACTGTGGATAGGTCTGTCAATACTAAGTGCTTATGAAACCGTCCAGCTTCTGTTGCAGATTTTTAGTTGGGTTTGTTACAGATATTACAGGACCTTGGAACCTGTTAAAAAGGTTCACCAATAAATATCAACAATACAACAGAAAACCTATTTAAATCCTAATTGTGACCATGGATGTTGTATCTCCGGGAGTATATACAAAGCAAGACATGTAAACCACTACCAACCAAACCTATATAGGCACAGAAAGGAGCGTGCGAAAACAAAATAACCATACTCATTAATATAGAAATAGACGAATTTATTAAGACTTATGATAATAACTACATATATAATAATATATTCATGTATCTTAAGAGAGACTTAATGGAAACATTACACAAATAGAAGTGTAACACGCAACAAAAAAATCACAACGGAAAGCTAGGTGTATTAATGGCTTATTGAATTATTTTTTATACACTGTAAAGGGAGTTTAGCATGAAGTTGGACAATGTTATTGTACAGAGTATGTAGATCTGGCTATTCCTCCAGGTCCTAGGATACATATTCCGATATGTTGAAATTATTAATACCCCATTCATACGACGAAAATTTGCTTATATATGCAAATTTACACACGAGTAATTTTACACACATAAGTAAAAGTTAATTTGCTATGCGTTCATAAGAGATTTATGTACCGTCGGTAAATCCCCAAATTGCCATTTGAAATAAGGAGATGGACCGATTCAGACTGGTGAATTTTCACAGAAAAGGGTATTCCCTTGCTATTTGGGCATAGGACTAGCTATTGGATGTTCCCGAATCAAGGAAACTAGAAGGAAAGTCCGATCCACTGAATGGTACGACAAATCCGTACTTAATGACTTTAAGGACGAAGATTGGTGTGAGAATTTTCGAATGAAAAAAGAAAAATGATTAAAGTTTTGTGAAAAATTGGAAAATGCTTTGGCCCCGGCACCCATATTCCCATCATAGCTCCTAAGCATTCCCATGGAGACTACTTTAACTGGAAAGGGTTTTACTCCTTGATTTTTGCCGGATGTTTGCGACCACAGCTTTATCTTTAGAGACATAAATATAGGTTGGACAGTTCAGCTTTATCTGTTATGTTAGAAAAATGTTGACATTTACTACAGTTCAGCTTTATCTGTTATGTTAGAAAAATGTTGACGTTTACCTCAGTTCAGCTTTATGTGTCATGCTAGAAAAAATATTGACGTCTACCTTAATTCAGCTTTATCTGTTATGTTAGATAAATGTTGACGTTTATCTCAGTTCAGCTTTATCTGTTTTGTTAGATAAATGTTGACGTTTATCTCAGTTCAGCTTTATCTGTTTTGTGAGATAAATGTTGACATTTACCTCAGTTCAGCTTTATCTGTTATGTTAGATAAATGTTGACGTTTATCTCAGTTCAGCTTTATCTCTTTTGTTAGATAAATGTTGACGTTTACCTCAGTTCAGCTTTATCTGTTATGTAAGATAAATGTTGACGTTTATCTCATTTCAGCTTTATGTGTTATGTTAGATAAATGTTGACGTTTACCTCAGTTCAGCTTTATCTGTTATGTTAGATAAATGTTCACATTTACCAAAGTTCACCTTTATCTGATATTTAAGATAGTTGTCGACAATCCTCCATCTTACTTACATCCTCACATATACTTTACACCTGCACCGTCTGTTTAATAAGAACATGTATTTAACATGAACTGTAAACTTCCCAACACTCAAAGGGAGATAACCGATGTACCAACGGATGTCTAAATGCATGGACTTGGTAACTGACACATCGGTAGATAAACAAACTCTGACCACTCCTTATTGTATCGACAGAATATTGACAAAGGATTATACTTTGCTAGTTGTAAGGGGAAGAGAAGAATGGAGTAGAGGATGTAACCCAGTTAGCTTTCTTCAACACCTTAATGTGCTGTCATAAACATGCATGACGTACGATGCTGATGTATGCTGGTCTAGACGAAACGCACCGAGAAGTCCCGAGTGAGCCATTGACGGGCACACATTTCATGCCCGTTAGGTTCTTTCCCTACGTTGTAAAGAAAATTGAGAATAGAATACCCATCAAGTTGCCAAGCGTTTTTGCATTAATCAGTGAACGGGAATATTTGCATTTTTAATCAATCAGACCACTAAACTTGGATGTCATATTTCTAATATTTTCAACTGGATTTTGTCTGTTGATTGAGTTATTTGTCTTATATTCATCGAAATAAATTTTCATCTTCATCCAGCGAAACCAATCACGAAGCAGCTGTCTAAACACTTTGCAGATTGAAATAACACAATAGAAGCCATCTACATGTTTATGTGATAATTCTGGTAGACATTCACACTTCTGTTATAACCATTTACCGTGTCATGTTGTCGTGATGCATCCGCAGTGATATACAGAAAACTTTAATTGGCCTTTACACTGATATCAGATAATTCATAATTAATATTAAAAACGATAAACATGTTACCAGTTTCTATCATTTCATTTTATCATTCCGAAAGCTTGCCTCTTTACTATCGTCTAACCCCAATATATATATATATATATACAATTAATTATCTGATTGGAGATTTTGTGGCAATCTGTAGGTGCAGGTATTTCTGTCCGTGATACCCGCAATGTGAGACAGTTTTTCTCTGTTCACGTCGTAATTTCCACAACTTGTAAGCATCGCCTCCTGTTCACAGTCTCTGACATGCCTGAAACAGGTGTGAAGGTAAGCTACGCCATTTTTCATGATTGGTGTATTATCTTAAAAAAAACGGCCTTTTTTATCAATCCTTGCAAGAAATCTCAGAAATTATCGGTTTAATCTTAATTTTGTAAAAAAAAAAACTTTGGGCAAAATTTGTTTCAAACTACAGATTTGTGTTCGTTAAACTCATTTGGACCATTTTAGACTGTTGATATGTTATTATTTACACACGAAAACCTGGAAAGATATTTTATAGATCCCAATACTATTTAACTCGCCAAAGTTCTGTAATATGCGTTCCAGAGACCCAGGTTTTCAAGGCGGATCGCATCGCTTTTGGTTGGTGCTGTTCAGCCTTTTAACGACTCTGAAGTTCCCACACCCAGTACCAAACAGTGGCAGTTTCACCAGCCATAGCAGTATAAGTAAATATCTACATATGTAATCTGTTATAAACAGTACTACCAAACACGTGATGTAGTCTCTGGTTCAAATTACCAATCTTATAGGGAGAGAAAAACCCAAATCACTAGCTGTGGCAGTAGACAAACTTACATGTCTAACAAATGATCGGAGCACTGGTGAAATAGCCAAAGTTGAATAGGGAGAATCGTCCGTACTACATTATAGGTGAAATCTTTTAAATCCCGATTATAGGTCTATATATCAGCTATCATGTTCTTCAAATCAACAAAGTCAAAACCATCGAAATGATCAACTTTACTTTCAACGTCAACACAGGAGAGATAATACTAGGAAGACACTTTGTACCTGTGATATAACACACAGCAGCAAAAACAACTTAAACACAGCAAGAAGTTTTCAAAAGAATAAAACTAAACCCAAGGTACACATCCAGGAGGAAGGAGGGGGACACAGCAATGTCTTCGTTTGCGTTACAATAATTGTAACGAAATGCCACCGATTTGGAGTACATCATGATGACTGTAACGGTAAGGAGAAAACTCGCGGGAAATGGAAATGGATCACAAAAGTGGTTTTTAAAAGCATGTACACGTCTTTCTACTTTACACGAAGAAATAATTAACAAGCAACAGAACAAAGCTCGTTAATTAAGATAGCACACTAATTACTAAATCTAATTATTGATAACGACTCATGTGTTTGTTTACGATTACCCGTGAGTGTGATATTTCTTACCTCGTTTTCGTTGTGTAAAGTCGTTCAAATTCCAGCTCTGATGCTGTTATGATATCATCTGGCTTGTTACCATAGCTAGATATTTTGAGCTGTTCAAATGTGATGATATAACGTTTCTTTCTGTGTCCTTGTTTACTAAAACAAAAATCACAAATTTGATAAAATTACAAAAAACAATTTGAAAATGTTATAACTAATTTATAAATTCACAGAATGAAAAGTCTGTATGGCGAACAACACCATGTGTTGACCTACTTGAAATATTTCTCTAGTCACAGCTGACGTGTACATCTTACCTGTGTAGTGTTTGGTAATGAGATCTTTCCTTAGTCCTGTCTGGTGGTTACATCTTACCTGTGTAGTGTTTGGTAATGAGATCTTACCTTAGTCGTGTCTGGTGTGTACATCTTACCTGTGTAGTGTTTGGTAATGAGATGTTTCCTTAGTCGTGTCTGGTGTGTATATCTTACCTGTGTAGTGTTTGGTAATGAGATGTTTCCTTAGTCGTGTCTGGTGTGTACATCTTACCTGTGTAGTGTTTGGTAATGAGATGTTTCCTTAGTCGTGTCTGGTGTGTACATCTTATCTGTGTAGTGTTTGGTAATGAGATATTTCCTTAGTCTTGTCTGGTGGTTACATCTTACCTGTGTAGTGTTTGGTAATGAGATCTTTCCTTAGTCGTGTCTGGTGGTTACATCTTACCTGTGTAGTGTTTGGTAATGAGATCTTTCCTTAGTCGTGTCTGGTGTGTATATCTTACCTGTGTAGTGTTTGGTAATGAGATATTTCCTTAGTCCTGTCTGGTGTGTATATCTTACCTGTGTAGTGTTTGGTAATGAGATATTTCCTTAGTCTTGTCTGGTGGTTACATCTTACCTGTGTAGTGTTTGGTAATGAGATCTTTCCTTAGTCGTGTCTGGTGTGTATATCACACCCGTGTATTGTTACTAACTATCCCGTGATACAAATTTACTGAACGTAGATGTAAATAAGTCGACAGCGTTAACCAGTGTTTTCGCGGAGTCGTTGTTATCAAATTTTTTGACCGCAGAATTTCTTACAGGGTTTGCATCGCAAATAGTCAAAACAGGTACCTCAATATTTTGGAAACCTAGTTCAATAGATGGTTGTTTCGGCCAGGAATGGTGGTTCTTACATAAGTAGGACACATGTAAACCACTCGTTCCAAGAGTAATCATAAGTATAACTGTCCACATTGTGTTCGCAATTCATAACTAGCCGATACTATGATACGATGGTCTCTGCATTAATGTCTTCTACGCAAAACGGGTGATGACACCATCTAAATGTTTATGATGAAAGTTCTCACCTGTTTAAGATTTGGCATTGTGTGAATGCACGACGCTCGAATTCCTTTTGTGTGAAAATAAGAGAAATGATGCTTAAATTCAAATCAAAAGACAATTATATTTCAGTTAAAAAAATCGTGTGGATTAGAGTGGATGAAAGGCTTTATCTGCTCAGAAATAAGTTTACATAGCGTTAACATACTTACCGCCGGAAGGCACAATGTTTCGTCATATTTTCGACGAAGACTACACTCCGTTGTTAGAGAATAATGTCGATCATTACAATACAGTAAAGTATTTGTATTTGGAGACCTCTACAGTTAGACTGAAAGGGAACCAGACTTTATACCTGGAGATACACTTCACGACTGTGTTCAAAGACTTCTCGAGGGGTTCATTGACTATCTCCAGGAACCAGATGACGTCACACGCCACTCAGAGGACATAGAAGTTAATACATTCGGTCGTAAAATAACATTTTGTAATGATGGTAGTTGTGTTATAGATTGGATATCAACTGATAACACGTCGATGACATCCATCAAACGTTTTGAAGGAGGCTGCTTCAATGAATATTCGGATCATGTGCCCATATATCTGGTATTGCAATTTCTGTCGTCACACTCAGTGTAAATGTTGTCCTGGCAATAACCTGCGTGGTGAGGTCGGGTGAGCTAGTAACATGGTGACTAACGACATTTTCGATGTTGGATGTTTGAATGACAGCGCAGTTGATTAGCTCACTGAAAGTATTGATAAATGAAAAATTATGTCTTTTCAGTGGGAAAGTATGTGACCGTCCATTTCTTGTCAAAGTGATACTTCTGTAAACAGAGGACCAGGTAGGTATTGGTTAAGTAATAATTGTGAATCTTTGCATAGAAAATATAAAAGTGAGTTATCAATGTTAAATTGTGAAAGGTCAGTCACTAATAGGACCGATCTTCAGCATATGGTAGACTGTTTGTAAGCACACTGAAGAATGGGACTTAAATGTTAATTCCAGAAATAACGATCTGATTTTTCTTTTAGAAAAAGAAAAAGAATGATGACTTCAATGATAAACTTATTTAAATTGTGGATAAATTTTTCAACATCGAGTTAAATCTTAACTAAAATGATTTTAACCTTAATACAAGAAAACCTTAATAGTTTTTATCGATACCTATGTCACATGTATATCAAATTATGGGTGTGAAGTTTGAATATAATGTATCACCACAGTTACACAAAGTTCATCTCCTTTTTATCAGAGAGCTAATAAAGTTATCATTATTATTATTATGACATTCTTAACGGCCCGTCAACACATTAAAGGTCATTAGGGTCATCAACCGGTAAAAAACACACAGCGAACCAAAAGGAAATAACACCACACAAATCAAAAGGTAAAAGATAAAAGTTAAAATTCTTAAATGGGTATATTAACACAAAAGATTAAAGTGGTAGGTCATAGTATATTATATATACCAACATCTTTCAGGTAACCTAGAATTTTACAAATCTCAGCAGCTTCAAAAGGGATTTTCGAAACCAAGTGATATCTACTACTTGTGCAACGTAAAATTACTGAAATCAGATTTTGGCTGAAAATTTTAGTACTAACAACTGTGTTTTAAAATCAAATTATGATGCTTTAGTTGAATTAAATAATAAAAAAAAACGTAATTGTAAAAAATGATCGGGTTGATCAAATTAAGCGTAAACTGTAAAGTTTGGGTTTAAATCACGTTTGGAATTCTCAATATGTTCAAAATGATTTTTTTTGTGTAATTGTATTCTCTACGTGTTCATGATGAATTCCTTCAAGAACTAAGTGAGACCTTTGATACGTCTTCTAAATGTTATTTGTAAAACATCTTGTTTATAGCACTCGGTTCTAATTCACTAATTCCATTGACTCTAGTTTGAAATATTGAGCCATTTCTGTATGCATGAGCATAATCTAAATCAGAACAGTATTCCGAAAGATCAAAGAAAATGAACAGTTTGTGATCAAAACGATATAGAGAATGAAGAACTCTTTGTCTTACTGTGTACTGCATATTCTGATTTAAGAAAACACATATTTACCAATACTATCAACGTTTTCCGAGTGTCTATAAATTAATTGAATTATTTTCCAATGAAAATATTGAAGAATTAAGTAGATTGGTAAGGCGTTTGTTGTATGCATCTGAAAAAAGAAAAAGATTCCTCGATTATTCAATATCGAAAATGGTTAAAACTTATCTGTTTTAGGATTAAACGTAGAGTTATCGAATTGTCCGTTAATTACATGTTATTATGAAATTGATATTGTTCTTTCTACCATAACCTGCGTATATTATCTCACGCCCAGACTATTAATTAAACACCACATCCATTGTTTATTCATGCGCATAATACACACGTGCATTATTGACCACAGTCAAATTTATTGGACGAGGCATTGACAGTTGACCCAATCATGACCTGTGACCCCGAACTACTTTCGCCACGTGCGATTGTTTTCATCGTCTGCTGTCCATCATCAACGTGGCTGACAGTGACGATCTGTCATTCTTGTCGGCAGTCAAGATCGGTGATGCGGTAAAACTGTGTGGAGGGGTGAAAGGGGATGAAAATTGGTAAATGCAGTAATTTTGGTTTCCCAAACTTTGTGATGTACAGTTCCGAAGAAAGTGATCAGAAGTGTACGAAATTACACGCCATCTTTATCGTGTCTGCATTCACATTTTCCCGCAATAAAATCTAGTTCCAAATTATTTTTTTAAAAGATAAACAATTTGTGTAATTTTGTAACGTGTTTCAATGAACTAATGTTACGGGATATTTTCAAACAAGATTACTGAATAAATAAGTCTTTTGTTTCAAAAATAGCGATTTTGTCTCTTTTTGCATATTAATGAGCCAAGCAGACAACGCGAAAGTGTCAATGGGGGGAGGGGGACAATGTTGTACACGGGGGAGGGGGGGCAATGTACACAATATATATATTTTACGTTAAAAGGTTATGGTAGAAAGAAGCTCTACAACTCATGACAGTTGATTATCATCGTTACCAAACTCTCGTTAGATAACGATGATAATCAACTGCCACACGTTGTAGAACCTCTATTTATCACCTCTCTGGCGTTGCAAATATGATGCATACGGTGACGTCATTAATTCTGTTTATGTATTATATAACCCTATCCTATTTCCTCATCTGTATGCATACTTTTAGAAGCTTGTCAAGATCTTGTCGATATGTTCATCAATATCTACATTATGAAGTTAACCTCCTCCATCTATTACTCAAAATATTGTATTGCATTTAGATCTGATAAAATTTGAAACATTAAACAGCATACCTGGACATCTCGACCTTTTTTCCTGTTCACCTTTAACCCGTGTGAAATCCTCAGGTAAAACCCACCCAAGCGTGATCTATCTTAGTAGGGTGTGAGTAGAACGATCTAATGTGTGACGTGTGAACCCCCTATTATCATATTGTAATTAATTGACCAAACCATTCGCGAAATGGATCATGTAACGTCGCAGGACCTGTAACGTCGCAGGACCTGTAAAGTCGCAGGACCTGTAAAGACCTGTAACGTTGCAGGACCTGTAACGTCGCAAGACCTGTAACACAAACAACGGTAAAAACGATTATGTCTGGCTAACAGTTTCACATTTTATACCAATTTCCCTCTTTTTACATATATCATATATGAGAAGAAGCTATTTTGGTTGCGTCATATCACAAAACAGGGGAATAGACAGTAGCATTAGTCTTTCTTACAAAACACATTCCGTTTTTTTTATAAACCGTGTTAATTGTTCATACAACCGAGCGTTTCCAAGCGCCATCCGTAGCACTTCCAGCAATAACATGCTATATTTCATTAATTTGATGTTGTTGTTTTTTTCGCTGTTATATCGTCCCTGTTATATACACGTATGTATTGTTTAAAATCTCCCCTATTTCTGACATAACCAGCAATGTTATATTATATCACATTGATGTCGTCCCTATTATATATACAGTATGTAAGCATGTCATCTTCTTTCGACATCCATGTCACGATAACGTGTTATTGTTTTCTAATTTATATTTGACCTTATCGTCCTTGTCACATGTAGTTGTTTAGCGTATCCTATAATTGTGACGTTTCATCTATTTTTAACTTTAATTTTCTCTGTTACGTGAACATAATTGTATTTTCCCCATTGATTCTATTCGCTTTGGTCCCTGATCCTCTCGTGTTATTTTACGATTGACATTGTTGTTATTTATTTGAGTTATACCACTTCATCTCGTTTGAAGTTCTCTAGTTATTTGTTTGATTAGAGTTATCCCCCATTTTCCGTTTGGGTGTTTGTGGTATTATCCGTCATGATAAGAAGAGTCACCTCCCCTTTACAAACACAAAATATCTCTATTTCCTCTTTGTAAAAATAGTGACGCATACAAAGAATAAAAAAAAAAAAAAAATAGCCCAACTGAAATCTCTAACACGTGAACATCTATCTGAAAATGTAATTAATCTGAAGCAAAACACATAACGTAAAATCAGTTATAGATTTCATGTCTTTGTTTTTATTATGAATGATGTTTGTTTCTGTACAAGGTACAAATTGATTTTTATATGACGTTATTTTTCTTGAAACAACTGAAATATTAGCAGAGCAAGGTTTTTCCATCGACGTTTCTGGTAGGTGTAACCATGGTGCTGGAAAATGTCTCCGCCAGTTTTGACTTTTTGATAGAACGAATAAGATTTTCATGGTTTATATATGACATTAAATACCAGTGATGGAATAGCATCATGGACATGTTGTCTATATACTTCGCTGAAAATAAAATTCTTATGAAGACAATCTGAATTCATCCACCGTCATATCATGCCACGATATACTAGTAAATGGTTGTTTGATATTTTTATCATTGTTTGATATTTTTATCAACAACGCATGCGTCTCGTTATGAATGATATTCAAGTATAAAAATAACACTCTGATGAAAATAAGAAAAGATCAAAGAGTTTTCTGAATATCATTACATTACAATCTAATTTTACGATAATGAATATACACCAAACCACTGAAAAGCTACACGAAACACATTTTTTTAGTTCTAGGCCGTGTGCTGGACAGATGGATCACGATTCAGTGACTTCAGTCAGGAACGTCCAATATTCGTTTGCATGTTGTGCCGACTTTTTCCACTATCCGACCTCAGTATTTAATATTCAACACATCAGGCAC